AAGCTGTCATGGTGTGCTGCCCTGCAGTGGTAGAAGCCATGGCAATCCGAAGAGGAATTCTGCTGCTAGTTGGGGTTAGGGTCAATTGTAGTGGAGAGTGATGTTCAAACTGTGATTAATATGATAAATGGACATATTGTAACTAATCCAAAAGGTTTACAGGATGGAGAAATTGAATGTCAGAAAAAAATATCCTTTAACAGAAAACCTTGAAAGCTATCCAAAGAGAATCTTGGAAGTTTTTTTTTTTTGACTCGGAAGAATCTTGGAAGTTGAAACATCTCAAAAATGGGGAGAAAAAAAAAAATTTTGAAAGCCATCGCCTTGATATTGAGCAGTTTTAATTATCTTCATTGACCGAAAATTAGACCTATATGTATCGTGCAAGGCACCCAAAATGTTACTCAAGCCATCCCAAAAGAATCTTGAAAATTGAAACATCCCATAAAAGAAAAATAAAATAAAAATGGAAGTCATCGCCTTGATATTGAGCGGTTATAATTATCTCGATTGACCAAAAATTAGAACTATATGTAACGCGCAAGACACTCAAAATCTTACGCGTAAGCTCAACCAAACACCCGAATTATTATTGATGAAAAAGAGACTCGAGATCTTACGAATCCGGCCTCTGCTATAGTACGCTCGTGTATCTAAGAGAGAGCTGAGAGAAAATGTGGCATAAATAAATAATAGGAGTAATAGGAGTACTCCTGCTGACGGGGGTTAAACGTTTCACGATTAGTCTGATTCCAAAATTTATATGTGTCATCCCGCAACGTACCTGTTACGTTCATCTAATGATATCATATGATTACAAAACTGCTGAATTCAAACCTATTTCTTTTACTTTTTAGTGCCTCATAATTGTCACTAATAATTACCCGTATCTTTTGACTTTTGGCTAACCCGCATGGTGAATAAAATAACAGACAGACAGGCTCCTGTGGTTTAGCCATTTATCGTTACATTTAAGGGGTGTTTTCGGTAGTGAAAAATTTATAAATTTTTATTTGTGTTTAGAAAAGTTGTTAGATATTTTCGATAGTGAATAAGTTATTTAGAAATGGTAAGTTATTTCCGGTAGTGAATAAATTGTTAGATGAGTATGTGAGTAAAAAAATTGTTGAAAAAAAGTTGTCGGTAAAAACTTTTTTGTTAGTGTAAACGAGATGGTAAAATGCTAAAAAAAAAATTGTCAGTAGAAACGAAATGTTAAAATGCATTAAATTTTTAGTATTTTTTGTTAGTAAAAACGGGAGCTTAGTGGTTCAGCTAGATTTAACAAAAAAAACTCTTCCAGGATTAACTTTTCCCGGGAAGAATTTTGTTAAAATGTGAGTTGTTAAAAACACTTTTGACAGTAAGGATCTCGTGGACAACATTTTGCAATCCAACAACAGACTGCAAAGAAGACAGATTCTACAATAACGGTATTGTTAACCTAATAAATAAGTACAGCAAACAAGTTCGAATATATATCAATATATACACATTTTACAAATATCAATACATTTTTTTATTAATATCGATACATTTCCTACCCATTATGGACGGAGGTTAGTATTTTCCATAAATCAAAAAGAAATTCCATCACAAACTAACATGACCAAAAACACCATTGCCGTGAGAGTCCACACCTTGGATGCGGTTTTTTTGCGCGTCAAAATGCAATACAAGTTATAGTACACGTAATAAGACCTTTCGAGATTTCATCATCACGAGCATATTTTTCTCTAAAGTTCATTAACCGTGAGTAAAAAAATCAAGTTAAACGGACAACGATGATGATATTATGGATACATGCATATTTAGAGCCCGTTCCGCGCTTTCTTTTTAAACTTTTCTTTTCAAAAAAAGAATGTAATTTCGAACTCCCATATTATGAAAATGAAAAACAATTTTTAGATTTTTTTTGCTATGTTTAAAAGATCTCAATGAAATATATTAAATAAGATTCATATTGATCGGAACATTATTTGTGTAAACATATAATTTTTGAGCTTGAAAATATCTTCTTTTTTTCTAAACTTTTCTTTTACTGTTCACCTGGAACGAAACCTTATCTTAGAGTTCTTTCTCTGATTTAAATGAACCATTGATCTCCATATAAAAGTCCAATCATTAGGATACCCCAATCAACTTAAATTTCGGGCATGAATAAAAAGTAGGGAAAAATTCAAAAAAACCCATGAACTTTGAACTCAATGTCAAATAGGCACCTGAACTTAAATAAACTTTAATTAGACACCTGAACTTTGTCTCCGTTATCAATTTAACCCCTGTCGTGACATTCCTAACGGCAGAGGGGGGGTTTTTTTTTTTTGACAGATTTTTCTTTTATTTGGGGACTTTCCTAATGGCAAAGGGTTTTTTTTTTTTTTTGGACATATTTTTCTTTTGTTTGGGGAATGGGAATTTTTTTTTGGGAGGTTTTCTCCAATGCGGACACTCATCAAAAAAAGCTAAGAAATGTAAAATTTTTTTGAATAAGGACACTCATCAAATGTGGTCAATTTTTTTTAACTTTTCTTAGCTTTTTGTCAATTTTTTGAGGATTATTACTTCGTCATGACGAGAGGAATCTAAAAAGTAAAAAATTACTATCGAAACCTAATTTTTTTTAATAAAGATAAAAATAAGCCAATAAGCCAATTTTTTTATTTTTAATAAAGATAAAAATTTTATTGTGTTCGGACCAACATCACATGCAGAATTGAAGTGCATGTTGCTGAGAATTAAAGTAGAAAAGTCAAATGGGTTGATTTGTGAGTGTCGGCAAGTGAAATGGGGTTAATTGGTTCTTGAAGTTGGTTGTCATCCTTGCTTCTCTGCTTCTCTCCAGAGAGAAAACCTCCAAAAAAAAAAAAAATCCCATTCCCCAAACAAAAGAAAAATCTGTAAAAAACAAAAAAAAAACCTCTTTGCCGTTAGGAAAGTCCCCAAACAGAAGAAAAATCTGTCAAAAACAAAAAAAAAAACCCCTTTGCCGTTAGGAAAGTCACGGCAGGGGTTAAATTGATAACGGGGACAAAGTTCAGATGTCTAATTGAAGTTTATTTAAGTTTAGGTGCCTATTTGACATTAAGTTCAAAGTTCAGGGATTTTTTTAAATTTTTCCCTAAAAAGTATTCAAGGAAGTTTGAAATAGTAGGTGTCAGTTTGAGATCTCAAAAGTCCTCACTCCTAATCAAATACTCTCCCCCTGCCCTGCCCTGCCCTGCTTCTCCCTACGAATGGTTTACATATACCCCATACGTAAACCAATACTATTACTTTACTATTCCTGAAACGCCATTGATGATTTCTTGTGTGATCAAATCTAATTTAATGAAATTTGTCTCCACATAAACTTCCCATTAAGGAAAGAGACACACACACACACCCATGTGCGTAATTTCCTATTGTTCGGGAGGGCGATTCCGTCACTTGCCAAACGAACCAAAAAAAAAAAAAAACCCCCCAAGGAAAAATAAAACATACTCCAGTTAAGAGAGAACACTCGGCTCCTCTATATATTTCCCATTGCAAATCGCGCCCACGCCTCTCTCTTTCCCATTCTCCCCCATGTCTATTTTTTGAACTTATTCACAAGGTGAGAGAGAGAGAGAGAGAGAGAGAGAGAGAGAGAGAGATTGATTTCGGTCCTCAATCGATATTGTCGTCGTTGTTCATGGCGACACAATGGGTCAAGTCTTGCAAATCAACATCAGCAAACGATGTCGTCAACGAACACCGCCACAAACCACCGAAGCACCGCCCCGTGGCCGTATCTTCAAGTTGCAGAAAAGGCGTCCAAAGCCTCAAAGACGTCATCGAAACAACCAAACCGAAGAAACCCAGGAAAAAAGCCAAACAACCCAGCTCGGTGGCGCCCGAACCCGGTTCGGACAGGGAGAAGACTCGCGTTCAAACCGTCACCGTGGGCCCGTTCGCTCCGGCCTTCACTGAGCTCCCCGCCGGCCACCCCTCCCGCAACGTGGTCGAGATGATCTTCCGCTCCGGCTGGTCGCCCGAGCCCTTCTCGGGTCGGGTCGAGATCGTGTTCAAGGTCCGGAATTCGTCCGGAACCGCGGCCCGGTTCGAGGAGTACAGGGAAAAGGTCAAGGCCCGCGTCAGTTGCGGAGGCGGTGGGGACCACGCGCGGTGCGCTGCCGACGGGAATGAGGTGATGGGGTTCCACTCCCTGGGTCCCGCCGACGGGGGCCTGGGTTACGACGGCGCGTGGGCTTCCCACTGCCGGAAGGGTGCGGTATGTGTGTTTTCCGGCGGTGGAGAGGCCCACGAGAGTAGTGGCGGCGGCGGCGGGAGGGGGCGGAGGGCCATGTTGGTGTGCCGGGTCATTGCGGGTCGGGTTGGTAAACGGATGGGTTTGAAGCCCTTGTCGGAGGGCCGAGTCGGGTTTGACTCAGTGAGTGGAGAGAATGGAGAGTTGGTAGTGTGTGATACACGTGCTGTGTTGCCCTGTTTTCTTATCCTTTATAAATTGTGAATTAAAAACACCATTGACAGCAGTAATAGTAAGATCAATAGTATTTTATTTCTTTTTCTTTTTAATTTTTATTATTTTATGACTATGGAAAAATTGGAATGATATATAACATTAACAATTCTTTGTTCATTATTCTGCAAGCAAAAACTTTTTGTTTATTTAAAAATCAACGATATTGAAGATATTCATAAAATCCAGAACAATATTAATGACGTTTAAACTCCTTTTTTTTTTTTTTGTTGCTAATATTGTATACATCATCAGTGTGTCCAATTTAAACTCTTATCCATTCGCCTATATTTGCAAAATGCATAATCAGAGAATCTTCTCGCTACCAAAAGACTAGGTCCTGATCAACGACACGAAAAGGGTGAAAAATACTTTTCTGCAAAATAAATTCTATTAAAAAAATAGAATTTAAGTTTTCGGGTCCAATATTTGCACACGCAATAACCTACCTACCCACAATGGCACAGGGTGAGTGGGTAGTGCAATGCATGACCCTAAGTAGATGTGCCGTCAATGGCCTCAAGCACAACTTGCGTTAAAGACTCAATGATTCATGAAATTATGCCATTCTCGCTATCACATTTCGCTACATTCTTAGTCGATGCAAGAGCCAAGATATTCGTTGCTGAGTCATTCAATTTTTAAAAAAATGTACTATAAGCCAACACTACCCAAACAAAGTCTTTGCTAACTGAACAAACACAAATATTTTTTTTCATACTTGTCTTTGTTAAGAACATAGGAGTATTTTGATATTTTTCATGCAACATTCCCGATAAACAAACGGAACCTAAAGGAAACACTCAAATCTCCTTACAATGTGTCATGGCCCTTAGGCTTGTGAGTATGTAAATGTGTGTGTGCATTGTTCTAACATTGTTGAAGAGTAAAAGCAGCAACGAGTATGACTACAGATGCAGCATTGCAGCCCATCCAACTACACAAATAGGCTTCTTTAAAAATATCTATGCATACAAACAAAGTATAAAACAGAGCGGTTAGCCGTCAAGTCAGATTGAAAGAATTTTCCTAGTATATAAACTACACTAATGTAAAATAAGAATTATACACCCCTTTCTTTTCCAATTGATCCCTCTAAAATTGATTTTCTTACATTCAATTCAATATTTGTTTGAGTGGTTTCCTTTTTGGTTGATTTCCCTACGGTAAAAAAAGGAAACAATCCTTTTTGGATTCATATAACACGCCTTTTTATAAGCATACACATATGCTAAACTTAGGTTATCCTTTTATAAATACACAAAATTCTTCTCATTCATCTGGCTCTCCCAAGAAGAGGAGAAATCAATTTTGCTTCATACCTTTTTTGGTAGAAAAAGAGAGATTTATAATCTATGCTAAACGCGAATTAAGGTAACTTATTTTCAACACCATTTTACTTTAGAGAATTCTTACTCGTTTAGTTATTATTTTTGGTACATTTTCGTCTTGTTCATGTTCTTAATTCTACTCTTCGAAGAAGTAGGTACGCGTTCAAGAATGATGAAGGCAGTTAAAGAAAAACTTTTTGGACTATGATTCTTTTGCAGAATACATCTTCCTATGGAGAGCACTCTTTTTAGCTGCATCTGTATATGGATTTGACTCTATTATTTAGTACTAGCTTTTATGTCATTCTTGAATCGTATGAATGCAACATGACATTGGGTCTGAATTCGTTGGCTCAAATTTATGTGATATAGATAATCATTGGTAGTGTCGTACACACGGATTAGATGTTATTCTTCTTGTTAGAAAATTGAAAATAGCGATGAGGGGTCAAATACAAAAAGTCTTTGTGCGGAGAGTGATTTTCGCACTCCCTAGCAATTTGGGGAGTGCTTTTTTGGGAAGTGTGAAAATCACTCTTCTTCTTTAAGAAGACAACACCAATCATTTTGGTTGTGATACACAAAATGGTGAAAATTTGGCGATGTTTGGATAAGTTTTTCTATCAATACGAGGAAGTAAACTATACGTATTTGTTTTTCAATTTCTATCACGGGAATCATATAAAATTGGACAGTCAAATACGTAAAAGAGATTTGTATTTACACTTGTATTGTACAATGTTAGGCATATATACCGATCGTCATAATCCTAGAACGAAGTATCAACATTGGAGGTCACATGAAAAACCTCCACAAACTTTAAACTGGATTGCTCATCCGACCTCTGCAGATTATATTCCATTCTCTCCTCTACTCCAATGTAAATAAGAAGACTATGATGCGTTATTCTATCGTAAATACAATCACACGGTATACGTTCTCGCCATTATCACGTGGTATGCATTATCTAACTCAGTTTACTACTCAATCGCTTCGAAAAACAATCCAGAAAATCAAATTTGCACTTCTCTTGTATTGTTCCATCATAGAGAAAGAAGCAGTAGCCGATTGGGGCAACAGCCCTTCGGGCGGGGCCATTCGGCAACCAACACATAATAACTTGCGTAGGACAATAAGAAAATGCTAGGAAACACAACAATCCAAACACCTCTCACATACATGTGGAGTCCACACGTACTAGTATGTATGGACCCCACATGTATGTGAGAAGTTGTGATTGGATTGTTGTGTATGTAGCACTTTTGTAGGACAATCCCTTGGAGGAAATCAGCAAGGCCCTACAAGTATTGCTCAACAGACCCTCCACATGAATAAATGTTAATGTTTCTACAGTAGAAAGAGAATTGGTCTCAACCACCAAAGGTTTACTGAAAATTCACTAGAACTATAAAAGAAATGAGGGGCAAATAATGAAGGAAGACTCATATGGGTAAAACCAACAGTAGCCCTCCCATGTACATTTTGTCATGCTGGAGCATGGGAATAAAATGGTAGTATCCTCTGACAGTACTAGTAAGACTCCACAAGTACATACAATGGCTTTCCATTTAATCGATCGCGGCCCTGCAACATCCGTCCAAATACTAGTCTTCAGATACCAATGTGCAAAGTAATCGAGCCAATAAAAATGGAATGTGAAATAATGAAACAACACTGGCATTATGAATAGGTCACATTGTCCAATCATTCAGTAGGTGATTTAGCCAGATCAAGAGTAGGTCTAACATAACAGCACACAAACATAAACTCAAAGACGAGTTGTGAAGGATTGAAATAGCCTCCATTGCACGCCAGTCGGAGAATTGAAACTTTGATATGGTACTCTATTTGTCTATTTGCGTCAGTCGTGAGAACTAAAGCAGTCCATGAATAGAAGTTGAATTCCCAGGGTTGTTCTAATTTTTACAGCATTTGGCAAAGTTTCTGTGCATAATGGCACGAGGATAAAGGAAGCATGATATTTTCGGTTGCATCTCTCCTCACTTGCCACTTTTGGCAGACGTAGTTCCAAAATTTAGAATATAAAGAGGGTCTATCTATTGCATGGCTTCCTCCTATTGTCACAATGGTTTGACTGGAGCAACAAAAAAGATTCACTTAGCGTTAAGATTCTACTTCTGTGAAAGGGGAATATTAATGTACTACTTTCTTTCATGTTCCACACTGATGGTATTACTGGTGATATAAGCCGACATTTATTTTATGATAGGAAGTTTCCAAGTTGGCTTGTCAGGTTGTAATTCCTATCTCAACAGGTTTAGCCACCATAGTTGTTAGGAACCCATAAAGCATTCTGACTAGCTGCATAAAAATCCCAACTATTCTAATCAGTAGCACAAGTGAGAAATGCAACTAACTTGCAAATACAAGAAACAGAGACACTGGCATGCAAGAAGCTTCTTCAAAGTTGAACGTAGATAATGTAATTGATCGCAAGAAAGCAGCCCACATTTCGATCTAATATTTAGAGAAACAGAGGTGGCCAGGGGTTTGATGTACAGACCTTTAAATCTGGTATTTCAATTACACATGCGCATTCAACAACTTCAGCCCCAGCACGCTCTACAAAAAAGAAGCATTTTTAATGATGTCTCCTACTTCGAACAATATTCATATTACTGCAATGAGGACAGTAATCAGAAGGAAACAAGGACTAGCAGTATGCACAGAACATTTTTTTGGAAACTTAGCAAATTGCATGTAAAAACTAGGGGTGTAACCGGTTCGGTTTGGTTCGGGGGGAGTTTTGACGAAACCGATTGAAACCGGTTCAGGGACCGAAACCGAGTTTTGATGGTCGGTTCGGTTCGCCGAAAATTTAAAAAATATTTTAAAAATATTTAATATATATATATTAAGAAATTTAAAAAATATTTAATATATATATATATATATTAAAATACATTAAAAAATATTTAATATATTTAAAAAATATTTAATATATATATATATTAAAATACATTAAAAAATATTTAATCTATACATATATATATATATATATATTAAAAACCGGTTCGGTTCGGTTCGCCAAAAATTTTCAAAAACCGAGAACCGAACCGGTTTCAAAACCGAACCGAGTTCAAGAACCGAACCGAACCGACCAATGAAAAAAACCGAAAAAATGAACCGGTTCGGTTCTTCGTCTCGGTTCGGTTCGGCCGGTTTTTTGTTCACCCCTAGTAAAAACAGTTCTACAATAATTTCAGTCCTGTGACCTATCTCAAGCAGGCTCAAATTACCATTAGCATTTATCAGGTGGTCATTGTAATCATGTATTTTGACCCTCCATCCTTGACATAAAGCTGTTTTTAAGGTTTATTGACCACCAAGCACAATGCTTGATAGTCGATCCACGAAGAGAGGGCAATTGTATGTCGAACAGGGCAAGTTGTACTTCATTATTTCGCCCACCAAACGCACCAACCAACAAGACCAAAAGACTATGCCTAGAATTGTATAATAGCGTTTCAATTCTACTTGCTAAGGGTTGGCACACTGCAGCCTTCATCAAGGTAGTGATTCATAGGGCCCAAGAATTAGGTTCTAATAAAAGGGTGTGGTTTTGTAGTCTTAACACTATCGAATCTGTGACATCCAACATTCAGAGAAAATTCATATCCTATGAGCCATAGCCTATGTAGATCATGGTTAACTTTTACAGAAATAGAAAAAAAAGAAAAAGAAGGGACAATTCTACTGGACCCACTGGCGGATGCATGTACAAGGGTCATGTGACCCTCCTGCCTTTTGTATCCTTACACTCGTACCCTTACAAAATAATCCAACATTTCTAGTGTCCCCCTAATTAATTACACTTGTACCCATCCCTAATTGTGTAGGATCCCATGATAACCTGAGAAAAACTTAAATTGCCCATCCTATTATCAGTTTCTCTATCTAAATCTTTGCTTGAGATGTGCAAAAAGTTTAACTGTTATCGTATGGACTAAATTTCTATGCTTAATATGTATGGACTAAATTTCAAAAAATAATGTATTCTTCTATTAGTAGATGAAACCCATGACATATCGTTACGTTTAAGGAAACACGGTTATGTTTAGAATTTGTGCCCCCACCTTAAATTCCTAGATCCGCCACTGGACCTCATGAATCTTGAAAAAAAGTATCGGTTTACAAGGGAATACCCAATAAATTCATTGCCGCACAGAGGGTTCCACCAGTAGCAATCAAGTCATCCACCACCAAGGCACGTTCATCAGGTTCAACTGCTCCGACATGCATCTCTAGACAGTCCGTACCATATTCTAAGACATACTT